AAAAAAAAAAAAATTATTTTGGTACGTGTCCGTAAGATGAAATATCACGTGACCGGTACGTGTCCGTAGACTTTCCGCTAAATTTTGTCGATCAACACGTGACTGTGAAAATTTTATTAGTAATTTGTTGGCGCACCAGGGGTAGTTCATGCCTTTTGGTCAAAGGGAATGCCCTAGGCATGCCTCTTAACCCCATGCCCCCAACCCTACTTTAGGGTGAGGTTAGGGCATAGTATATGCGAGAAATTTGCAAGATTTTGAGCTACAAATGATTTGAAAGCTGATTGGTGCGCAGAATTTTTGGAGGTGTTCTTGGGGGTAGTTATACCGACACAGCACGTATGTGACTAATTCCGCATACCCTAACGTTAAACCTAACTATCCATGCTGTGTCGATTAGCCATTTTGCTGTGCATTAAGTCACGTGTATGCTGTGTCGGTGTATTTCCTCTAAAAATTTTGGAGACTATAAGAACCGATTATATAGGTTTATGTGGCCTAATACAGTAATATAAAGTTTTAAAATAGACCTTTTTGACTAACTAATAACCGTAAATAATCTGAAAGTATCAATTAAAATTACCAAAAGAAAAATCTAAATTGGTAGATTTAAATAAAGATTTACAAATAGATCTTAGATATAGCAGGCAATAGATAACCTTAGAATAAAATCCTTAGACAATAATTAAGATATACTACTGTCAAGACTCTTAAATGCCATAAAACAGTTAATAAAATTTATCAATCATAGAAATTAGTTTTGATATAAAGAAAAATAATAAACGAATAAATAAAACATTATTAAATTTGATTTGATAGTAGTTAAAATATTTTATTTTAGAGTCAAAAAAAAAGTTGCTAAATTGATTTGTCTCTTTGCTATTGACTTCACACTATATAAAATTTTGCTCGCATTAGTCACAATCCCTCAATAGTTCCTGATTTTAATATGTGACTATTGCGAAAGCTGACTGTAGCACGAGATTTTATTGTATAATAAAGAACACACACTGCTTTACTACACTGTTTGGTAACGTTGCAAATTTATAATATTTATTATATAGTAATAGCGATGGTAGCTATAAGGCCTAGAGTATATCAACGGATAATAGGCCAACTAAGATCACTTAAAATATACATTGTAATTTATATGAATGTTATATATGAAATACGGAAGGTATAACATATTATCACAATTCTGTGCTCATGTTTAACACAGGTTTAAACTTTTCAAGGTGCTGGATATTTTTTCCAATATAATAATCAGTTTTTGCGAAAAAGTTATAAGGAAATGGTATATCTTTCGGTGACGAAACAGCATCTAATCTTGCCATTTGTTCAGGTGTTAACCTATTTAAATTATATAAATAGTAAATAAAAATTAAATTGCTTACAAAGATAAAATTTTATCAAACTTTACTTGAATTCAAGGGCTTTAAGATTATCTTCTAATTGAGCTTTTGTTTTGACACCGATAAGAGGCGAAGTAATGCTAGGTTTTTGTGAGATCCAATTTAAAGCGACCTTTTAATTTAAAAGAATTATTGTGAAAATGGACATTAATTAGTGTTAGCAGGTGAACTTTAGTATAGATAGGAATGCGCACGTAGTCACCAAAACCTTCCCACTTAGAGTTAGGAACCAGTTTTATTTTTCATATGTTAAAACCGATTTAAACCGGTTTCAACATATGAAAAATAAAACCGGCTCCAAACTCTATTCCCACTAATATTAAAGTTCGATCATAGAACGCACATAAGTAACTATAAGCAAAATAAATAATAAAGCTACCTGAGCAGGGCTTTTATTGATTTCAGAAGCAATAGCTTTAACTTCATCAAGAATTTCCCAATTTCTTTCATTACTTGCTGAGTTAGTAACCGAATGACTACGTCCACCAATTTTTCCTATACTTGTATCTGAATCTTTAGTGTACTTTCCAGTTAAGAAACTATCCATAAAATAATCAAAATGAACCTAAATTAACTCATGCACAATCAACAAGATATTGAAGAAATAATTATTACCCTTCGGCCAGACAACCCCAAGGAATGATTCCAACCTTTATAGTAAAAGCAAACAGTTAATTATTATTTTGCCAACTATATTACAAATTTTAACTAACTCGATGCTCTATTTGTTATAATGTTAACATATTTACGTACATCAACTTCAGCACATGCCGACTGCAAATCAAATTCCATGGATCGGTCTAGCAAATTATATCGAGTTTGTAATCCAATAAAACGGCTTATATAAATTAACAAAATTCTAGTTAGTTTTCGTCATTATAATAATTAATACATATATTATTTGTGTATATGTTATTACCTCCATCCACGTAATTCAGCCATGGTATTCGCGCGACTAATCACCCATGCAGGCGCATCACTAATCGCGATATAGAGTACCTACAGGAATTTATAATAGATGCTATATAGTAACTAATTAACTAAATATTCAAATCTTCAAATTAAGTATAGTAATCAACCTTGCCACTTCTGACAGCATCATCTAAAGAACGCATTATTTCTTCAATAGGAGTACGAAATTCCCAAGCGTGAACATACATGATATCAACATATCCAGTGTTCAGTCGTTTAAGGCTTTCATCGAGATTCTCGACAAGAGATTTACGGTGGTTTCCACCTTTAAATAGAACATTTTCAGAACTTATATCCTTATAATAAACTCATGAAAATCAATGATATAATTACCAGCATTTGGATTGTATTTTTGATTTGGTAGCAAAGCAGTAACATTTGCTTTATAAATGAAAAGTAAACATATAGCATAAATAGCGAATTTATGATAATATAAGTATCAAATTCTTATGATAATAATAAAATCAACATACCAGTATATTTTGTGGCAACTACAACTTGAGAACGTTTATCAGCGATATATTCTCCAATAAAGCGTTCGCTCTTTTTATATACAAACAAAAGAATTAGCTATCATATATTATTTGTTTAATAATTAACACGTGCTATTATTATCATTAACATGCGTTATTCACCTCTCCAAAATTATACATGTTTGCAGTATCTAGAGTTGGAAAATATGTAAATTTGATATCAGTAAAACAATATTCTAAACATCCCAGTATTTCGACTTGTTAAAAATCAACAATTACGTAAGAAAACTCTCGCATTCTAACTACATGCACAACGAATTTTAACAGAGTTATTCTAACATAACTAATATTTTGTTTCTTATCACGTGATAGTGACTTTTTTAGTTCCGATACTAGGGAAGATAACCTAATACTCAAGTATATAATACGTACCGATGAAATTTCCGCCTTTTTCAAAATAATAATCGAAAATTTCTTTAGAGTCCTCAAAATTCATGCCGATTTTCTATTAAAGAATTTATCATATTGATTAAGATATTGTTTTATACGAATCATGAAATCATAGTATATTAGAATAGTGACTGGACTCGTCAACTCGTGATTCGAATCATGACTCGAATTATTTGAGAATCAAATCAATTTAGTTTAATTTACATATTAATTTTGTGACTCGAATGACTCGAATAATTATAATAAAATAAATGATTCGATTCGAGTACTCGAGTCCAGTCACTATATTAAAAATGGTAAAAATCTTACCATTTGTTCTCCAAAAGTCTT